GGGGGTCTTAGCGAAGCCAGGCTCCGGAAGCCTTAGTGAAGCCAGGCTCCGGTAGCCTTAGTGAAGCCAGGCTCCAGTAGCCTTAGTGAAGCCAGGCTCTTGAATCTTAGTGAAGACAGGCTCTGGGGTCTTAATGAAGCCAGGCTCTGGGGTCTTAGTGAAGCCAGGCTCCAGGGTTGGTTTAGGTTAGTTTAGATTTGGTTGGCTACGCTGGTTTAGGTTATATAACCGAAGTCTTCCACTACCTTACGAGTCAAACCATTTTACAAGTTGAAGATAACAGCATTTTACGTTGCTACAGATTTCTTATGATAAATTAAGATAAGATTTGTTCGGATTTTTTTTAACCCTGGAGAGTTAGCCACACAAGATAACCCAAGAAAGTGAGTACGTCATCAAGGACTGTCTGTTATATTTCCATTGTGATCCTTAAATCTTGGGATGCGACCCACACCAGTCAACGAACACCTAGGTACTTGCTTGCTAGGTGAACAGGACAATAGGTGTAAGCAAACGAGCCCAGTGTTTCTATCTCGGCCAGGGATCGAACCATGGACACTCAGTGTATTATTCCACAGTATTGCCTACCAGGCCATGTGAAGTTTTCGGTTGAGACACACCTGGTTCCCAATGGAAATAAGTCACTTTGTCTGATGTTTTTTGGAGAGTTCTCCTATTTCCACTATGATAATTGTACTTATGTGTAACTGTGCCTAAATTAACTTACTTGTATCCACAGACGCGCTGTGTCACTACAAGGAGGTGAACGGGCAGTTGCCGGAAAGACTGATAGTGTACCGTGATGGTGTTGGCGAGGGTCAACTACAGTACGTCAAGGACACAGAGATCGCTGCCATCAAGGTGATAAGATAAGATCTGTTCGGATTTTTAAGCCGGGGGAGGGTTAGTCACCCAGGATAGCACTAGAAATCAGTGCGTCATCGAGGACTGTCTTATTTCCATTGTGCCTCTTTAATTTGTCCCCCACGATGCTACCCACACCAGTCGACTAACATCCAGTTACCTACTGCTAGGTGAATAGGGATAGCAGGTGTACGTAAGGAAACATGCCCAACCTTTCCATCCATACCGGGGATTAAACCAGATATGGTAAACACGAGGAAATTAAATCTTCATCAGAGTACAAAACAAATTCTGGCCACAAAATAGAGCGAAACACCAACGTCAAAGACCTGTCGGAGGATCTCACCTTCAAGGACCATAACATTGTATCGATCGCATCTGCTAGAAAAATGACAGGATGGATAATGAGAACCTTCAAAACTAGGGAGGCCAAGCCCATGATGACACTCTTCAGGTCACTTGTTCTATCTAGGCTGAAATATTGCTGCACACTAACAGCACCTTTCAAGGCAGGTGAAATTGCTGACCTAGAAAATGTACAGAGAACCTTCACGGCGCGCATAACGGAGATAAAGCACCTCAATTACTGGGAGCGCTTGAGGTTCCTAAACCTGTATTCCCTGGAATGCAGGCGGGAGAGATACGTGATTATATACACCTGGAAAATCCTAGAGGGACTAGTACCGAACTTGCACACGAAAATCACTCACTACGAAAGCAAAAGACTTGGCAGACGATGCAACATCCCCCAATGAAAAGCAGGGGTGTCACTAGCACGTTAAGAGACCATACAATAAGTGTCAGGGGCCCGAGACTGTTCAACTGCCTCCCAGCATACATAAGGGGGATTACCAACAGACCCCTGGCAGTCTTCAAGCTGGCACTGGACAAGCACCTAAAGTCGGTTCCTGACCAGCCGGGCTGTGGCTCGTACGTTGGTTTGCGTGCAGCCAGCAGTAACAGTCTGGTTGATCAGGCTCTGATCCACCAGGAGGCCTGGTCACAGACCGGGCCGCGGGGGCGTTGACCCCCGGAACTCTCTCCAGGTAAACTCCAGGTAAACAGACACTTAGTGCATGAGGCGAGAGCCTTACACATCTCCGAGAGAATGGTTTTTAAATGAGTAAACTGAAGCTGCCGTTCCCTTCCTTATTTCAAATATGTTTATCTTCCATCCTCCTAGGAACTGTATCACTATGTCATTTTAGCGTCTCTTCGTGATACAGTATAAAGAATAATAAAGTATAAAATTCAATATAATTCAATATAAACTATTGGTTTGCCAATAGAGTTGTGGATAAGTAGAACAATCTGCCAAGCAAACTCATCAAAATAAACAACCTTAATCTTATATGCCTTTATACTTTTGATGAGTTCCGAGACTTCTCTACTCCCCGAGCCCGGCCGTGAGCCAGGCTCATCTGGTGCTTGCCTGATCAACGAGGCTGTTGCTGCTGGTGGTCTGGGTAGTCTTTAAAGTAAATTAGAGAAATATATGAATGACAAAGGTTGAGTCTGAGAAGAACGTGCCTGGCAGGAGCTCTGTAGTGCTGCTCAGTGTGTTGTAGGTGGCAGTGTGTGCACTTTGGAGTGTGTTGTAGGTGGCAGTGTGTGCACTTTGGAGTGTGTTGTAGGTGGCAGTGTGTGCACTTTGCGACAGTTATTAAATGAAACGTTTTGCCGCGGGTCTTTATTGTGCAGCCCATACCCATCCTGTGGGTGGTAGTCACTCCATACCCATCCTGTGGGTGGTAGTCACTACATACCCATCCTGTGGGTGGTAGTCACTACATACCCATCCTGTGGGTGGTAGTCACTCCATACCCATCTGTGGGTGGTAGTCACTACATACCCATCCTGTGGGTGGTAGTCACTACATACCCATCCTGTGGGTGGTAGTCACTCCATACCCATCCTGTGGGTGGTAGTCACTACATACCCCATCCTGTGGGTGGTAGTCACTACATACCCATCCTGTGGGTGGTAGTCACTACATACCCATCCTGTGGGTGGTAGTCACTACATACCCATCCTGTGGGTGGTAGTCACTCCATACCCATCCTGTGGGTGGTAGTCACTACATACCCATCCTGTGGGTGGTAGTCACTACATACCCATCCTGTGGGTGGTAGTCACTACATACCCATCCTGTGGGTGGTAGTCACTCCATACCCATCCTGTGGGTGGTAGTCACTACATACCCATCCTGTGGGTGGTAGTCACTACATACCCATCCTGTGGGTGGTAGTCACTACATACCCATCCTGTGGGTGGTAGTCACTACATACCCATCCTGTGGGTGGTAGTCACTCCATACCCATCCTGTGGGTGGTAGTCACTACATACCCATCCTGTGGGTGGTAGTCACTACATACCCATCCTGTGGGTGGTAGTCACTACATACCCATCCTGTGGGTGGTAGTCACTACATACCCATCCTGTGGGTGGTAGTCACTACATACCCATCCTGTGGGTGGTAGTCACTCCATACCCATCCTGTGTGTGGTAGTCACTACATACCCATCCTGTGGGTGGTAGTCACTACATACCCATCCTGTGGGTGGTAGTCACTCCATACCCATCCTGTGGGTGGTAGTCACTCCATACCCATCCTGTGGGTGGTAGTCACTCCATACCCATCCTGTGGGTGGTAGTCACTCCATACCCATCCTGTGGGTGGTAGTCACTCCATACCCATCCTGTGGGTGGTAGTCACTCCATACCCATCCTGTGGGTGGTAGTCACTACATACCCATCCTGTGGGTGGTAGTCACTACATACCCATCATGTGGGTGGTAGTCACTCCATACCCATCCTGTGGGTGGTAGTCACTACATACCCATCCTGTGGGTGGTAGTCACTACATACCCATCCTGTGGGTGGTAGTCACTACATACCCATCCTGTGGGTGGTAGTCACTACATACCCATCATGTGGGTGGTAGTCACTCCATACCCATCCTGTGGGTGGTAGTCACTACATACCCATCCTGTGGGTGGTAGTCACTCCATACCCATCCTGTGGGTGGTAGTCACTCCATACCCATCCTGTGGGTGGTAGTCACTCCATACCCATCCTGTGGGTGGTAGTCACTCCATACCCATCCTGTGGGTGGTAGTCACTCCATACCCATCCTGTGGGTGGTAGTCACTACATACCCATCCTGTGGGTGGTAGTCATTCCATACCCATCCTGTGGGTGGTAGTCACTCCATACCCATCCTGTGGGTGGTAGTCACTACATACCCATCCTGTGGGTGGTAGTCACTACATACCCATCCTGTGGGTGGTAGTCAAAAGATTACAGAGGTACATAATGGATCCAGGAAATGGACCCCAAAGTTTTGATAGTTGAACAAGTTATAAAGATAATAACCTGGTACATGTCTATATCTGGTCACAACCATGACCAAGTTAGAAAGGTAATGAACCATCTACACGTCTATACATGGTCACAATCATGACCAAGTTAGAAAGGTAATGAACCATCTACACGTCTATACATGGTCACAATCATGACCAAGTTAGAAAGGTAATGAACCATCTACACGTCTATACATGGTCACAATCATGACCAAGTTAGAAAGGTAATGAACCATCTACACGTCTATACATGGTCACAATCATGACCAAGTTAGAAAGGTAATGAACCATCTACACGTCTACACATGGTCACAATCATGACCAAGTTAGAAAGGTAATGAACCATCTACACGTCTACACATGGTCACAACCATGACCAAGTTAGAAAGGTAATGAACCATCTACACGTCTATACATGGTCACAATCATGACCAAGTTAGAAAGGTAATGAACCATCTACACGTCTATACATGGTCACAATCATGACCAAGTTAGAAAGGTAATGAACCATCTACACGTCTACACATGGTCACAATCATGACCAAGTTAGAAAGGTAATGAACCATCTGCACGTCTACACATGGTCACAATCATGGCCAAGTTAGAAAGGTAATGAACCATCTACACGTCTACACATGGTCACAATCATGAACAAATTACAAAGTAATGAACCATTCACACGTCCACACCCGGTTACAGTGGTAATGAACTATTTACATATTTACATATTTAAGTCATTTAAGCGGTGTTCCACAGGGGTCAGTGTTGGGCCCGTTGTTGTCCACAATTTACATAAATGACATAGATGAGGGAATAAATAGCGACATAAGCAAATTTGCTGATGACACCAAAATAGGCCGTCTAATTCATTCTAATGAGGACATTAGAGCACTCCAGGATGATTTGAATAGACTGACGCAATGGTCGGAGAAGTGGCAGATGCAGTTTAATATTGACAAATGCAAAGTTCTAAATGTTGGACAGTTAAATAACCACATATAAACTAAATAATGTAGATCTTAATACTACTGATTGCGAAAAGGATTTAGGAGTTCTGGTTAGCAGTAACCTAAAACCAAGACAACAGCGCATTAGTGTTCGCAATAAAGCTAACAGAATTCTTGGCTTCATATCTAGAAGTATAAATAATATAAGTCCTCAGGTTGTTCGTTAACTCTATATATCCTTGGTTAGGCCTCATTTAGACTATGCTGCTCAGTTCTGGTCACAGTATTACAGAATGGATATAAATGCACTGGAAAACGTACAGAGGAGGATGACAAAGTTGATCCCACGTATCAGAAATCTTCCCCGTGAGGACAGACAGAGGGCCCTGAATCTGCACTCTCTCGAAAGGCGTAGAATTAGGGGGGATATGATCGAGGTGTATAAATGGAAAACAGGAATAAAGGAATAAATAAAGGGGATGTAAATAGTGTGCTGAAATTTTCCAGCCAAGACAGGACTCGCAGCAATGGTTTCAAGTTGGAAAAAATCAGATTCAGGAAGGATATAGGAAAGCACTGGTTTGGTAATAGAGTTGTGGATGAGTGGAACAAGCTCCCAAGTACAGTTATTGAGGCTAAAACGTTGTGTAGTTTTAAAAATAGGTTAGATAAATACATGAGTGGGTGTGGGTGAGTGTGAATTGGACCTGACTAGCTTGTGCTGCTGGGTCTGGTACAGTGCCCCATCCTTGAGTGGGGATGACCAGACTGGGTGGGTCTTTGGGATAATCCGGGGGGTGGGTCATTGGTCTAATCCGGGAGGGGGGCATGGACCTGCTCCGCATGGGTCAGTAGGCCTGTTGCAGTGTTCCTTCTTTCTTATGTTCTAATAATGAGAGACTTATGAACTCACTGGTACCAAAATGTTTCCTCTAATTAGTGTCCTGAATTGTTATATAAGTGTACCTTTCCACAGCTCCTCCAACTATTCTTGTTCTTACTTATAAAAATAATGAATGCCCTTTAAATGGTATATTCTTCTCTGTGTTGTTGGTGTGTGTCATCAGGCGTGCTTCAAGGCCAACAACTTCTCTCCACGCTTCAGCTTCGTCGTAGTCAGTAAGAGGATACACACCAGACTCTTTGCTGAGGGTGCCACCACTGGTAACCCCATTAATCCGCCTCCTGGCACCGTCTGTGACGACGTTATTACACTCCCAGAGAGGTGCCACTAAACTGCCTTACTAGTCTTAACATGCTGCCTCTAATACCACTCTTATCTTAATAATAATAATAATAATAATAATAATAATAATAATAATAATAATAATAATAATAATAATAATAATAATAATAATAATAATAATAATAATAACAACAACAATAATAATTATAGTAATGAAAGCAATGATTGTGTACAGGTACGACTTTTACCTCGTGAGTCAGAGAGTACAACAGGGGACAGTCACGCCAACATCATACAACATCCTGGAAGACATCAACTCTAACTTGGACGCTGATAGGCACCAGCGCCTCGCCTACAAGCTCACCTACCTCTACTACAATTGGATGGTGAGGCCTAAAAGGGAATATAAAATTCTTTTACCTGGATTAGTAGGGGTGAGGGGTGCGCCTTGATTTCGGAAAAATTTGAACTCATTAATGTGACGCAGCACTCTTATGGGATCATGGATAGATGATTTTATTTCTTCATTGCCTCTGTACCTCTTTCACTTATCTTATTTATCACTCTGGTATCTTTCCACAGGGTCCTGTGAGGGTACCAGCGCCTTGTCTCTACGCTCACAAGTTAGCATATATCACTGGTCAAGCTATCCACGACCTGCCACACCACAACCTCTCTGCTACCCTGTGGTATCTCTGAATACCAAGGTTCTACTCTGTGGTATCTCTGAATACCAGGCTTCTACCCTCTGGTATCTCTGAATACCAGGTTTTTACCTGGTATCTTATCAGCATATTCTTCGCGTGTTCACTGAATAAGACACATACAACACCTGGGTATCTTAACTGGAGAGACATTGTGGCTACACAGATGGCTCTTTCACTCTATTAGAGGGAGTCATCTTCCTATTAGATTGAAAAAGCCTGTTGCATCTTTGCAATAAAAATACTCAGGTGTTGCATAGTTGTTTTATTCATTATCATATCAATACTGAGTAACTCATGTCTCATCATGTATATTCTAGCTGGAAGGGGTCGCTAACCTGGCCAGCTACCTGGGTAGCTTTCTGGGTAGCATTGAAAATTGGTTGGGCAAACATTTTTGTTTGTAAGTAAGTAAGTTTATTCAGGTATACACAAATACAGTTACATAGAATTATCATACATAGCAGCATATGTGTAGAGAACCTGGGATAACCCAAAAAAGTCAGACAGAGTGACTTATTTCCATTGGGGTCCTTTAAACTTATTTCCATTGAGTTTAGGTTTGTGCAGGACTTGTCTAGTATGGGCCAGTAGGCCTGCTGCAGTGCTCATTCTTTCTTATGTTCTTATGTATCTGCTCCTCAATGTATCCCATCACACACACACTGAGGATCTGTCTTAAATGTGTTTCAGTGGTGAACAAATGCCTTATAGGCAAATCGTTTAGATTTTTTCCATTAATCTTTTCCTCAATTCCAAACGTTATCAGTATATTGTACGATTATTTTATTATAACTTGTCAAACCTAGAAATAGAATAGTTTACAAAGAACAGAATATTCGTATGTATATATGTAGTTACCTATGTATGACTCCCATAAAGGTGTGCCTATATGTCTATAACAATGAGGCAATGTATTTAGCATCTAAGAATGAGTCTACAGTGTATGTGTGTATAACAGTGTACATACACACAGTGAGGTGTATAACAGTGTACATACACAGTAAGGTGTATAACAGTGTACATACACAGTGAGGTGTATAACAGTGTACATACACAGTGAGGTGTATAACAGTGTACATACACAGTGAGGTGTATAACAGTGTACATACACAGTGAGGTGTATAACAGTGTACATACACAGTGAGGTGTATAACAGTGTACATACACACAGTGAGGTGTATAACAGTGTACATACACACAGTGAGGTGTATAACAGTGTACATACACACAGTGAGGTGTATAACAGTGTACATACACACAGTGAGGTGTATAACAGTGTACATACACAGTGAGGTGTATAACAGTGTACATACACACAGTGAGGTGTATAACAGTGTACATACACACAGTGAGGTGTATAACAGTGTACATACACACAGTGAGGTGTATAACAGTGTACATACACACAGTGAGGTGTATAACAGTGTACATACACACAGTGAGGTGTATAAACAGTGTACATACACACAGTGAGGTGTATAACAGTGTACATACACACAGTGAGGTGTATAACAGTGTACATACACACAGTGAGGTGTATAACAGTGTACATACACACAGTAAGGTGTATAACAGTGTACATACACACAGTAAGGTGTATAACAGTGTACATACACACAGTGAGGTGTATAACAGTGTACATACACACAGTAAGGTGTATAACAGTGTACATACACACAGTGAGGTGTATAACAGTGTACATACACACAGTGAGGTGTATAACAGTGTACATACACACAGTGAGGTGTATAACAGTGTACATACACACAGTAAGGTGTATAACAGTGTACATACACACAGTGAGGTGTATAACAGTGTACATGCACACAGTAAGGTGTATAACAGTGTACATACACAGTAAGGTGTACAACAATGTCTATTGTAGATGAATGGTTCAGAGAACCGACACGTTGATAAATTAGACACATGTGCAACTCTTGGGTATCTTTATTAAGGAAACGTTTCGCCACACAGTGGCTTCATCAGTCCATACACAGGAGAATCGTGAAGAACAGGAGGAGAATGAGGTAATCAGTCCCTCAACCTTGAGTCGATGTGGTCAGTCCATCAATCTTGAAAAGAATGATAGATGGACTGACCACATCGACTCAAGGTTGAGGGACTGATTACCTCATTCTCCTCCTGTTCTTCACGATTCTCCTTTGTATGGACTGATGAAGCCACTGTGTGGCGAAACGTTTCCTCAATAAAGATACCCAAGAGTTGCACATGTGTCTAACTTATCATATAACAGTGTAAACACACTAGGACTATATTTTAATGGGTATTATTTTAGCACTTGTACGTAACTAGTACATGTATCATGTTTACCTGGAGTTTACCTGGAGAGAGTTTCGGGGGTCAACGCCCCCGCGGCCCGGTCTGTGACCAGGCCTCCTGGTGGATCAGCCCCTGATCAACCAGGCTGTTGCTGCTGGCTGCTGGCTGCACGCAAACCAACGTACGAGCCACAGCCCGGCTGGTCAGGAACTGACTTTAGGTGCTTGTCCAGTGCCAGCTTGAAGACTGCCAGGGGTCTGTTGGTAATCCCCCTTATGTATGCTGGGAGGCAGTTGAACAGTCTCGGGCCCCTGACACTTATTGTATGGTCTCTTAACGTGCTAGTGACACCCCTGCTTTTCATTGGGGGGATGTTGCATCGTCTGCCAAGTCTTTTGCTTTCGTAGTGAGTGATTTTCGTGTGCAAGTTCGGTACTAGTCCCTCTAGGATTTTCCAGGTGTATATAATCATGTTTGATGATCCTTGTGGAATAGATAGTATATAAACCTATCAGTACACCTGAGTGTGCTAATTAACCACTACATATGTGTAACACATACGTACAGCTGGGTTGGTAGCACATTCAGCTCACACACTGAGGTCCGTGGTTCGATCCCCGGTACGGGTGGAAACATTAAGACATGTTTCCTTAAGACACCTGCTGTCCCTGTTCACCTAACAGTAAAATAGGTACCTGGGTGTTAGTGGACTGGTGTGGGTCGCATCCTGGGGACAAAATTGACCTAATTTGCGGGAAATGCTCAGCATAACAAGGGACTTTCCATATAGCAGTATGTCACTGATGCCAGTTATGTTCTGTATAAGTTGTATTGTTGTATAAGTTGTATTGTTGTATAAGTTGTATTGTTGTATAAGTTGTATTGTTGTATAAGTTGTATTGTTGTATAAGTTGTATTGTTGTATAAGTTGTATTGTTGTATAAGTTGTATTCTGTATAATTGTGTATTGTATCATGTACTTGTAGAAGAGATTATATTATTATTATTATTATTATTATTATTATTATTATTATAGTCAGAGAAAGTCAAGTGTATTATAAAGGTCCTCTATATTACCAGACTTCATTAATTGCAATTGAAAAAAATCTATCAATGACAATAACGTCCAAAGACCCTCATAATAGGTCTATAAATTCCCGAAGTGTTTTTCAACTGCATCCTCAAAAAACTTGCAGTATATAGAGTATCTTTAATAGGATAGTTTACTATATATAAAATAATGTTAATTTAGACTCTAGAGGTCTGATAGTGGAAATATATATATATAAATACTGATATTATTTTTCTATCCTGTTTATTGTAAGGAGAAATAAGATAGTTATTATTACAGTAAATTATTATTGATGTTACTTTATTTACGGGGAAGCGCTAAACTCATAAGGGGTCATACAGTGCTGTGGGGGGTGGCAGTGAGATATAAGTCAGGTTTGATCCCAGGAAGATGACTGGATTAATATCCCTCACTTAGCAGTAAGTAGGTACCTGGGTGTTAGTCACCTGACATCTGCTGTGACTGTTCACATAGCAGTAAGTACGTACCTGGGTGTTAGTCACCTAACATCTGATGTGACTGTTCACATAGCAGTAAGTAGGTAGCTGGGTGTTAGTCACCTAACATCTGCTGTGACTGTTCACATAGCAGTAAGTAGGTACCTGGGTGTTAGTCACCTAACATCTGCTGTGACTGTTCACATAGCAGTAAGTAGGTACCTGGGTGTTAGTCACCTAACATCTGCTGTCACTGTTCATTTAGCAGTAAGTAGGTACCTGGGTGTTAGTCACCTAACATCTGCTGTGACTGTTCACCTAGCAGTAAGTAGGTACCTGGGTGTTAGTCACCTAACATCTGCTGTCACTGTTCACCTAGCAGTAAGTAGGTACCTGGGTGTCAGTCACCTAACATCTGCTGCGACTGTTCATTTAGCAGTAAGTAGGTACCTGGGTGTTAGTCACCTAACAACTGCTGTGACTGTTCATTTAGCAGTAGGTAGGTACCTGGGTGTTAGTCACCTAACATCTGCTGTGACTGTTCACTTAGCAGTAAGTAGGTACCTGGGTGTTAGTCACCTAACATCTGCTGTGACTGTTCACCTAGCAGTAAGTAGGTACCTGGGTGTTAGTCACCTAACATCTGATGTGACTGTTCATTTAGCAGTAAGTAGGTACCTGGGTGTTAGTCACCTAACATCTGCTGTGACTGTTCATTTAGCAGTAAGCAGGTACCTGGGTGTTAGTCACCTAACATCTGCTGTGACTGTTCACCTAGCAGTAAGTAGGTACCTGGGTGTTAGTCACCTAACATCTGCTGTGACTGTTCATTTAGCAGTAAGTAGGTACCTGGGTGTTAGTCGACTGGTGTGGATACCATCCTTCATGCTGGACTTGAAAAGGAGCTGAGGTAGGATAACAGCTCTTAGCTAGTAAAGGGGTTGAGGTAGGATAGCAGTTCTTAGCTAGTAAAGGGGTTGAGGTAAGATAGCAGTTCTTAGCTAGTAAAGGGGTTGAGATAGGATAACAGCTCTTAGCTAATAAAGGGGCTGAGGTAGGATAGCAGTTCTTAGCTAGTAAAGGGGTTGAGATAGGATAACAGCTCTTAGCTAGTAAAGGGGTTGAGGTAGAATAGCAGTTCTTAGCTAGTAAAGGGTTGAGGTAGGATAACAGCTCTTAGCTAGTAAAGGGGTTGAGATAGGATAGCTATGAGCTGTTATCCTGGAGTTTACTCTCTCCAGGTAAACTCCAGGATAACAGCTCATAGCTAGTAAAGGAGTTGAGGTAGGATAGCAGTTCTTAGCTAGTAAAGGGGTTGAGATAGTAAAGGGGGCTGAGGTAGGATAACAGCTCTTAGCTAGTAAAGGGGTGAGATAGGATAACAGCTCTTAGCTAGGAAAGGGGCTGAGGTTGGATAAGAACTCTTACTCTGTAAATTCAACTTGTAAAACAATAATGCTATTAATAATGGTAGTTGTTATTGTGGAGGGTGACGGATGACGCCCTGTTGTTGTTGACTCAGATGTATTCACCTATTTGTGGTTGCAGGGGACCTTGTAACTTAGTCATGATTGTGACCAGATCTACTTGGAGTTCATTACCTTTGTACCCTTTTCACCTATCAAAACTTTGATGTCCAGTCCCTGGACTCATTATGCACCTCTGTAATCCTTTGACTACCACCCACAGGATGTCTATGGGGTGCATAATAAAGATATTAAACTGAAAAGAGGTCGATCCACAGCGCCATGCCCAGCCTCTTCGCTGATCGATACTAGGTCCACTTTCCAGATTGTTCCACTTCCTGACAGCTCTGACTGAAGAAATGTTTCCTAACATCCCTGTGACTCATCTAAGTCTTCAACTTCCAGTTGTGAACCCCTAGTTGGTGTGTCCCATCTCTTAAACATCCTGTCCCTACCCACCTTGTCAATTCCTCTCAGTATTTTATGTCGTTATAATGTCCTGTGTGTGTGTGTGTGTGTGTGTGTACTTACCTATTTGTACTCACCTATTTGTGGTTGCAGGGGTCGATTCATAGCTCCTGGCCCCGCCTCTTCACTGATTGCTACTAGGTCCTCTCTCTCCCTGCTCCATGAGCTTTATCATACCTCGCCTTAAAACTATGTATGGTTCCCGCCTCCACTACTTCACTTTCTAGGCTATTCCACGGCTTG